AAAATAAACCTATTATATTACCCATTTGCTCCCCTTCTTCATTCTAACTTTTCTACTACTTCTCAACCTTCTGGGGCTTCCCATGTTATAGTTAGTCCTTTTAGCATGAGTTTTTAATTTTCATTACGCCAAGCACTATCATAGTTTCTCGGTGCTTCAGTTATGTTAAAGTCAATCTTGTCTAATCGTTCTGAACTACACATATACCGATTTCCATGTTTTTGAATGTGTAAACTGTTGTCATAGTTTTTCAATAACCTTTGCCTACAATTTTTTGGATTGCCTTCAGCGTCATAATCATCATCCCCATAGGCTTGTTCTTGAAATTTCAACATCGCTTGTTTAATTGGTATCCAATTCTTTGTTTTGATTTTTCTCAATTCTTCACAATGAATCGCTGATAGCAAATTCAGCTTATTACACTCTCTTCTATATGGGTTGTTTATCGTATCTAATTCGTCTATCCTTCTCACTGTGTGGCTTTTCTCCTTACATGCAATACATTGATAAGTATAGGAAAAGATTTGTGATGAAATTTCATCGGGTAACTGAAACTCATTAATGACGCAGTAATTTTTGTGTTCTTTGTAATCCTTGCATTTACAACAACAGTTCTTTTCATTGGTCACTTCTAATTTGTAGTCCTTCAGTTTAATGATGTCCAAAAACTCATTGATAATCTCTGCCTGTTCAACGTCAGTAAATTTCACTGTCATGACTCTCTTAATTTACTAAGGCGTTTTGTCTTTAAGTCTTTTTGTTCAATGATTTTTCATTGTCTCAGATTCGCTATTTATTTCTTGGTTTCTTATGTGTTTATTGGTTTGCTCGTGTTGCTTATTGTATTTATCTATTTCACACCCACAAGCACGACACATGATTTTTTCATTACGATAGCATTTTTGATTTAACAATATTTTTGTTTTGTTTGCTTCATAATGTTCTTTTGCCTTTTCTCTTATTTGTTCTTTGTGTCTTTCTCTATATTCCTTTTTCTGTTGCAACACTTTATCACGGTTATTTATAACATATTCTTTGCGTTTACTTAAAATGTCATCTCGGTTTTCTTCATATCGTTCTCTTGCCTTGTTATTCAATTCTTCCTTATTTGCTTCTCTATAACGCTTTTTCTTATCAATACAGCTATCACAAGATTTAAGCCCATAAGTAAAATTATCTGTTGTTTTTGATTTTCGACAACTTCTACAAAATCGCGTTTCAATGCTCATTGTCTCCATATTCCCTAAAGTGATTACATCTTTAAGGGTTTTTGTCCGCATTTCTGGACTTGTATAAATAGGAAAGTGTTTTGAAAACAAATTGGTGAACAAACCTTTTTACACAGATGTTGTGCACAAAGCACTTTTTTACACAGATGTTGTGTTCAGAAAAACGTTTTACACAAATGTTGTGCGCAAAGTTTTTTTTTACACAGATGTTGTGTGCAAAGCGGGTTTTTACACAGATGTTGTGCGCAAAGCGGTTTTTTACACAGATGTTGTGCGCAAAGCGGTTTTTTACATAGTCGTTGTGCACAAAGCGGTTTTTCTTTTTACACAGATGTTGTATGTTAAAGTGGGTTCGGTCATACATTTCCTAATTCTTTGAGATGGGCTTCGCCCTTCCATCGTCCAAACCCAACCCAAACCCAACCCAAACCCAGAAAAAACGCTACCCAAAAGGACTTAAAGACTTGAGGCCTTATAGGGTATAGAGTTTATGGCAGAACCCCGTTTAAACGATGTGATGAAGTATGTATTAAGTAGTGATATCGGTAAAATACCAAAGAGAGACAACAAAGAATTAAGAAAAGTAGTAATTAATGGTAATGAATACAGATATAATAAAGAACAACCCTTTTCAACAAAATTAACCAAAAAATTACAATCAATTGCAAATACGCAAGGTTTTAAACGCTATGAGATATTACACAGAGCAGGTCAACAAGCAAAAACAAGACAAGCAATTAAATCATATGCAATAAGAAGAAAAGCAACAATCACAAACGAAAGACAAGCATTAAAACGATACGCGAATACTTATTCAATTTCTAATATCAATTTAAACGGTTATCGTGGTTTATCTTATTTAAAATATCAAAAAGAACGATTAA